CTCATGTTTTGTGAGCACTTTGTTGATCACCTAACACACTGGAAAAATTACCAAGGTCTTCAGGCCTTCTGACCTTTTGTACCTTTCAATATTTTGTAGTAATGGGAAGACAAAACCTTTTCCTAAGCTGTTTCAATAGCTACTTATCTTCACCTTAAACAAGTCAGAGAAATAATACTGATTTTTATTAATTTAAGTGTAACGTAGGATCTTACTGTATCTTTGCCTGCTACATGGGAGAAGCTTCTGTTACCACACAGGTACACAGACACTGAACAAATCACTACAAAATCCTTCCATTTGATAGTGTTATTAACAGCCATAACTTTTTCACTACAGGACTGGGAATTATTTGGTGGTCCTTCTCTGAAGCTTCTGCAGTGTTTCTTAAGTCACCCATCCTGCTGGGACTGTGGATCTACCAATTCAATTCCCTGTAGAACTTGCTCAAGCACCTAATGTCTCTACTTAGCTATTTTGGCTGCAGCATCTTTCTGCTGTCCTATCCATTCCTCCTAACACCCACTGGAACAGTCAAATCCTCTTCAGAGTCACTGCTCTTCCCAGCATGTCCAGATGGACAGTCACTTAGAAGCATGGCCTATGTTTGGCCATGCTGTGAAAACTGTTGCTCATGTTCTTTACTGACTACTACTCTCCCTATCTGCATGTCATCAGGGAACTCCGCAATACTATTTTATGTTTTCTTCCAGATCATCACCAAAACTACCCCAAAAAACTTTATCTGTGTACATTTTATAAATGTTGAGTTTGGCTCTGAGGGAACTCAGCTTGCAGTGTTGAACTGAAACACAAAAGAGTTTTTTTCGGGGTTTTTTTTGAGCAGTGTCCTTCCCCCTCAGGGACAAAAACCAAAAAGAAATTAAAACCATGATGATATTCCCACCACATTAACCTAGGCACAAAACCTAGATCACCTTAAGAAGGTGGTTCTTTCTCTCAACTAACTATTAAAAGACTACTCTTTCAATTCAGCCATGTGAATTAAAAGATGTGGGAACCTCTTCTCAAATGTACCACATCCTCAGATGGTATAATACAGTGTCACAGTAATATGAATTTGAGTTTTCAGGAGCTTTGTTGAGCTACAACACATAAATCCTGTACAGGCCCAAGACCTTTATGTCAAATGTTCAGAAAATTGTGAATTCTTACAATGTCTTATGTGACATACCTGATAAGAACCATATCCATCTTTTTGTTTACAATCCCACTTGGCCTTTTTACCAATAACTGAGATACATACCTAATCTACACACCAGGTAACTCTTTGAAATCTGAAAATAATAAAGATGGATTTCCAATAGTTCATCTGATTTATCTGTTGAAGAAGCTATTTTCTCAACAGAAAAAGAATGAAAATGTCACCTGAAAGAGTGTGAGCATTAATTTGGATTTACAGCAGAGAAATGTTGAAATTGCAAGGACTATGAATTAACTGCATGCTGAAATGAGCAGTGTATCTATTTTTAAGGGTCCCAATCTTTTAAGTTTGAAGTGAGGTTTTTTTTTTAGTGATATAATAGGAAACTTGAAAGTGCATATTAATAAAAATATCTAAGAAAAGACAAGAATAAAATTAGTAATGGTGATCTGAATGCTTGAAGAGCTATAATGTTGAGATCTATTAGCATTTCTTGACAGTTCATGGCAACAACTTCCTTGCAACTGGTTTTTATTATCTCCAGTTTATGATTATCTACATTAATCGGTGGTGGCAGAATAGAATCTATGTTCAACTTACTCAGCTGCCTCTTTTTGAGCTCTTGTAGGTGATATAAGCTATGACCTTCTCCCCCAACAGGAGAGACAGCATAGGCAGAGAGTGCTCCAATAGAAATAAAAGTAAAACCTCATTCACAGAAAGCAAGAAAGAAAACGAAAAGCTTATCGAGCTGAATGAGCTCCTTGAAGGGACACAATGAAAGAACAACCCTCCCCCAAATCAAACCATGGAAAATAACAGATTGAAAACCAGAGATATGACCACATCCTCAGGTAGTGTAAATCCCTGGCACTCTACTGCCTTCAGCAGAGTCTGCTGATTCTCACTAGTTGAGGAGAGGCTTAGAGATTTTAATTTTACTTTGTTGGGCACTAATTATTGCCAATGTGATTACCAATTAACTTCCTTGTTGCCATTGATCTTTAGGTATTTTTTTTTTCCCCTACCCTTATTTTTGATCATCCAGGCAATATCTGTAGTCAATTTTTAAATACATCTCTTAAGAATGTAGAGATAATAATTAAATTTGGTATGCTGACTGCTGTAGTGATTGTTATGTACTGCTTTAGAAACTAAAGTAGACACATATAGGTTCTAAATAGTAAATTATAATGCTTTCCTGCATATTTCTAATAGGTAATCGTTTGATGATTCTTCAACTAGGGCCCTTAGAAATGACATATTTCCTCCAAAAAAAGGACATTATGTCTATTCTAACATAGTTCTAAGTGTACCAGCACATTTCAAGGCATGCCCAGCTATACAGCCAATGACAACCTTCCGGAGATACAGCTTATGAGCTTTGACAGAATGCTAATAAATCTCCAGCCTGAAGGGTACTCCCTGGGGAGGCCTGGCTCCTTACCTTTGACATGGGGGATGAAGTGGTGTCGGAAGGGGGAGTTGGGGCGGGAGTCATGGTGAGTGGAGCTGAGACTGCTAGTGCGCAGGTATGACAACCGCTGCACACCAGTAGAGAGCAGCTCTGCGGCAGCAGGGAATCGGGGGGCAGAACAAAATGAAAACAAAGAAAAACAATAAGAGAAAGGCAGGGAAGGAGGCTTCAAAGGAAGAAAAAAAAAGGCACTGAACAATTAGGATTCTGAAAAGAAGGAAGGAGAAAAAAAAAAGGTTAAAGACATACGGAAGGGTTTATTAGTGTTAGACAAAATTACAGGAAGTATTAGAAGAGAGGCTCAGATCTGAACTGCATCACTAACTTAGCATAACATTTATTGGCTTAACGAGCTTCTGATCTATGTCTTGTTACCAAAAAGTTGCCTGGTACCAGCATGCAAACATCACAAACATTGACGCTCAATTAGTTAAGAAAGCAGCTGTTTGAAAAGTGCCTGACCAAAAAATGTCAGTCAAGAGGCATGCAAGCTGTTTTCTATTGTTTTAGGACATTCCAAAATGCTGCCAACATCAGCTAGGGCACCGCAGGAGGAAAAGGCTGCAAACTTTTTCAAAACTTGTAGCACTCAAATTTTTGCAGAACCTTATGCTGACAACGTCAACACACCGGTTCACTTCTCTCTCAAGGGCTACCTGGGAGCCAAAGAGAAGTTATCTGGGGCCACTGGGTTTATTCAGAGAGAAACTGTTCTTGCAAATAACATGATAATAGGAAGTGTCATTAGGAGAAAAATGGTAAATATACATGTGCTATTATTCAACATGAATAATTACTGTGGGAAAATTATAAAGTAGAATTAACAATTACCCCAAAGCAGGGTAGGAAAGGTCAAAATGATGAATTCGACACAATTACTTCTGGGTCATATGAGAAACAGAAACAGGTGAGCCAAAGATGAGATCATCTGAACAGAGATAAGTTTGAACAAATATCTTCTCAGAAAATCCCTCAGGCTGCGAACTTTTGAAGATTTTACATTTGGATCCAATCTCTGGCTTGAGCCCATCTGCCCATCACAAGAGTTACATAAACAGAGACTGCTTCTGGGGAAGGTCCTTGACTGAATACAGACCATAAAACTCAATCACAGCAAAGTCTGGAACAGGGCCTGGATTTGTTCATATTGCTGATACAACTGACACAAATGGAAAAATCCCCTCAGAATTGCCAGAATCAAGAGACAGAAGTTTGCAGCTTTTTCATGCTTTTAAGTCTCTTTTGGTTTCAGTTATAACATCATCTTAAAACACAGCCATGTTGTCAGCACTAAGTATCATACACAATTTGCTTCTGTCCCACCTCCCTTGGGTCCTTTAAATAAGGCATTCACTGACAGACACAATTAGCTGCTTTCAGCCCACCCCCACTAGGAAATGGCTACTGCATTCAAGTTCCACAGTGGTGGCTCTATTATAAATCTTTAATTTTAAAAATGCAGCTCCTATTGTATATGGGCTTTTGGCATCCCAACTGTTCAGCTGTAATCACCAAAGATGATGAAACTGCACGGTTGTATCACTTAATTTAAAAACAGATCACAAAGATTTAATTCATTACCATAAATAATAAAATCCGTCTTGAAAAGTCTTCAATGAATAGCATTTAGAGATAGATTTTTATGCGATCTGGATGTAGATGAACAGTCCATTTTCATATCTTGCTTTTATATACACAACCAGTAATTCTGAGTGCACTGGGAACCTGAATGACCTGTGCATTTTTTACAGTGTACATAGAACTTCTACATCACTGCTAAACCAGTAAATGAGGTTTGTGCTTTTAAAATGTTCCCAGGCAATTGACTATGGTTTTAATTGAGAAATCTACCTTGTGAACTATGACTCCCTGTTTTAAAAAATGACTACCAATTTGGAATATCTGGCAGTTTTGCTGCTGAATCTGAGATTCTATGGCTACACCAAGCTCTAAATGAAGTGTTTTTTAAGAGGGAGGAATCCTACATTACTGACTTCTGTAGTCAAGCCATAACTTTTGTTTCCAATATATGATACTTTTCCCAAATTCCAGAATGAAGTTTGTGATTCACTACTAGAAATTTTTTCTTCTTTTCAGAAACATATAAAGATTTTAAAAATAATTAATCAGAAACAAAATCTGAAGATCCGTATTTATGATGTAAGAAACATTCACCAGCCTAGTGCAAAAGACTGCATCAATCAAGAACAAAACAACAGGTAGGAGATATTAAAATATGCAACAATTTTTCAATCCTAAATTTTTACTGCTAAGAGAAACAAGTGCTTCGCTGCACCACTAACTGACATAATAAAGAAACAATAGTTTTACATATATTTCTAATACAGTTGCCCTTACCAGGTCTGTGGAAATGCTGAGGGGAACGTGACATGGTGGGTGTGTAGCTATGACGACTATACACTGGAGAATTAATGGAGCCCTGACTAGTAGACCTGTGAATCATGCGATCCCGAACATCTTGATAACCCTGCAGAAGAGAAGCAGTCACTAATAAATGCAAATGCACATTACGTATTTTTAGCAGCACTTAACTTTCACGGATCTGGAGACATCAGCAGGAGATACTGAAATAACAATATCCCTTAAGCTTTCAACTTCATTATGACTAATGATCTGTTTTAAAGACTCCAATCCATTTTAATAGCCTGGGTCAGAGTTCAGTCTTGGAAGGTTCCAACTCCACCTGTAATTTCTATTAAATTCTATACAATCCTAGATTTGCCCCCATTCCTGTGACTCCATAAGGGAAGCTGCATTTGGAGTATGCCTGTCCTGCAGCATGCTGCACAAGATACCAGAGCTAGCCTTCAGCTTGGAGACCAGCAAGAATTCAATGGGTACAGCACAGAGCTCTCTGCAGGTTAATTTACCACTACCATGACTAGTTACATCAAAAACTATTAGTATCCAAATTAGATTCCCCTTGTATCTGAAAACATGACACCTTCTTGTACAGCAAAATTCAATTTACTTGGTTTCCCATAGAAAAAAAAGCCAACAAAAAAGAAAAAAAACACGCCACCCCAAAATGAACAAACCCACTTCCCCACCACTACAAAACAAATCAAATCAGGACAAAAGTGACAGGACTGATGTTAATACATGAAGATTTGCAAGAAATTTTATAGTCATTTTTTTAACACGTAGCAATCACTACAACCTTTACATTGCAAATAATCAAAACCGCCCACCTCCCAAATCATACTGATTCCACAGTGGCATCTATTGTATTCTGACAAAAGACTTACAAAATGCTTCATGTTATTGTGGTGTTCAAATTAACTCCTATGGAAAAGCGAAACCAAACCAAACCATAGTTATGCTTTCTTCAAAACAAAACTGCAAATGTTTTAGTAGCAAACATTGCTTATTATTTAGATGCTTCAAGCATCATTTCAGCTCATGTAAATCATCCAGCTCCTGAGATCCGAGTCTGCATGTGCCACAAGAAGGATGAAATACAAGAAGTGACCTCTTCTGGACAAATCACTCTGCTTTATAGACAACAAGCGGGCAGGAGTGATAGCTTCATTTTTTGTACACTCTGTCAATAAGAATTTAATGTTTTCTTTTTACAGTTATTTTTTGTTAAATTTCAATATTCAGAAAACATGCCTATGTGGCAAACAGAGATGGATCAGACTGACAACAAAGTCAACACCTGCATTTGCTGAAGTCAATAATTCTAATCACAGTAAGATACTGCCCCCAAAGGTTCCACCAAACTTACTTCTGCAGACGGGGTAGGTGATAATGTCCTTGGAGACTGCAAAGACATAAAAATAAGGTTACTGAATCATCATTGCATGTGCCGGGCCAGAAAATGGCAATCTAAACATTGCTGCAGATACACTGATATAGGGCAATGTAAGATGGCAATGCAGAAATTACTGAGGCCACTGCAGCACTGGAACTTGCTTCTTCCACACTGCTCAGGAACTGGTCCATAAATCATCGAAGCAATTAAAGTTTCTGGGAGAATATAAGCATGATTAATTCAGTCAAATATCACGCAACATCATCTCTCAGCCATCTAATCACTGTGGTAATTAAAACATAGCTGTAAAGATCAAAATCAGAAAGGGTTATTAATTTAATAACCATGCCTGTTATGAAGAAATCTTTAAAATGGAAATCAAAAGTAAATAATCTTAACTCAGAGTTTTGCATGGAAAATCAGAAATACAGAATAACTTCCAGGATGAAGCATACTTCTCCTCCAACACACATACTTCAACAAAAACGTGCTTCTCCCCGAGGCCCTACATTTCATACCCATGCAAAGGAGTACGTAGTTGTCATCAACTTTTCTTTGATATGATCTCCTTTAAATCTCTGTGTTCTTCCATAGTTACATAAGGAGAACAGACAGGAATTACAGGCATGTATATTGAAAGAACTGCACAAAGGCCAGTGGGCAGAAATATGCACAATATTATGGAAAGTTTCTATTACAGAGATAGGGAAACTGAGGAAGGAAATATCTTTAGAAATTAAACATAGGATTATGCATACAATGGTGGTACAAACAAGAACAAAGACTATGTATAATTACCAGTTATGTGCCCTTTAATCACTAGACAATTTGAAGCTGGAAAATCAGGATTTAATTATTTTCTTTATGCACTAAACTTCAGTATTGTTTAATTGCCATAATAAACTGGGCAAAAGATTACGCTTTAAATAAGACCACAATTATTATAGAATGATACAGATATTAAGATAATGTCCCAGAAGCAAAACTGCTGATTCTGGTCTATTACAATAATTTACAACAGCAGTAGTATATGCAGAAATTCTGACAATAAATATCTAGCTATACATTTTGCATTGAGAAACCATAAATTCTCATGATTCTGGTGACACTTTGAATGCAAAATATCCAAGCACAATTCAATAAAGCTTTTTAAAGACTGCTTTCATTACTTTCCATCAAAGCCTTGAATGTCTTTTACATTCTTGTTTTCCTAATCCTTCTAACTGCACTAGTTCTATACCGCAAACAAACCACCATTTCATTATAGATCCAACAGCAGCAGCTCTAAAAACTTTCCTCTGCATGAAGCATATTGCACAAAATGCTTTGTAGCATAATTCTTTACAAAAACTGAGAGCTAATCTAAAACTTTCAATATGAATGAAAAAGCACATGTTGTGGTGTGCATTCCAACATTTTTAAACTAGTAATTTATGTGTTACTGTAAATAAATTTCCATAATCTGCTGTGGTTGCTGAGATGTTAAGGTAATGACTACTGTAAAAGGTAGTCACAGGAATCTAAGACTGGGGAGGCATGCCAGAAAGTAACACGCTGAATCCATGACCAACCTTTTATGTATTTTTACTCCATCACCATCCAACATCATCTCCTTGCCTTTTGGGAAACGGAACAATGCTCTGCAGCCAACTTACTGTTTTATCATGCACAGGTGAACTGCCATGCCTCAAACTCAGTCTGCCAAGGAATGCTTGGATCTTCAGGGTTTATGAGGTCTTTTAAAATCTGGTCTATCACAGAAGTCTACACTAGTCAGTTCAAAACACACTGTGCAGTCGACTGAGAAGAAACAGCTCAGTTCTAGTATAGTGAGCCAGTGGAAATAAAGGGTGATGATTCCAGATTGGAACAAATGAAAAAAAACCCAAAAAACCAAAACACAAGAAAAAGGCTGGGTAGACAGCCTGTTTTGACAAAATTTACAGTAAAACTTCTACTCACTGCAACAGGCTTAATGCTCTATCACTCTAACATCTAAGGGGCTGCTCTAATACCTGAAGCTGTACAGGTTATTTTGTGCTCTGGGAAATTTCTGCAAACTTTTACAGATGTCATTTTGTAACAGAAGTTCCAGCATTTTGCATCAACCTCGTTTTAACTGTCATCTTACTGAACAACCAGATAGGATGTTTGCTCCATTTTGAAGCTTCTATCACATTAGAAAAAACCTTTTCTTATTTTACGACATCTTGTTTACTGAAAGCTGTTACAGACATTCAGTGCTTACAATAGACAGAACACTAGAAACATAGGACATGCAGGTAAAATGCTGCTTCTCTCAATATTTATGCAACAAAAGTCAGAGCTGAGAAAAGATGATTTCAGTGCTAATCAGGTTGCTGCCAGGAGGGCAGAAGTTATAAGATATGAAGAACCAGAGTAACTGACAGTTTCTGGAAACGTTATCACTACATTAAGGGTCAGCCTCAGTAACAGAAAATTTATTTACAGATCTCATTTCGTATCTCTCCATCTCTTTTATATCAGAAGCTAACCCAGCTCTTCACAAGCTCCCTCCTCTCCCCCTGCTAACTGCTGGCAGGTCTGTCACTGAAATGCCCGATCCCGCTAGATGGCGCTATGTGAAAACAGTTTTCATCAGGCTTCCAGAAAAATAAGACTGGGATTTAACAGAACAAGAGAGATTATGAGTGAGAAACTTTTCAAAGCATTTCCCTTCCATTGCAATAAAGAAGAAAGTCTCATGCTGTGTTTTTACACTTTCTATGGCTAAAGTATATAATTCTCTTGTAGCCCATTCCTGTAATTAATGTTTATCTCTAACTACTGGATTAACTATGGTGCTTCTTGATCATCTCCCTTTCATCACCCAGAAATCTTCCTTAGCTAAACTTGGAGATTTTTTCCTTTCTTTTTTTTTTTTTTTTTTTTCCAATCATGGTGAAGGGCATTTCTACTGTACAAGCTTAAACTCAGGGTTCTCTTTTATTTACCACCACCACATAAACACACTTTGCAAAGAGAATGCAGGTTAAATCACTCAAAGTCTGCAAATCCCTGCTGTGACTAAACATGTCACCTTATTTGCTTTTTAAAGCTAATGGTGACTGATGTATGATGTATCCAGATTGTTGTCACTTAATTACCACAACACAAACACAAAGTAAGAGATCACTCCACCCTGATGGGCTTGTGTTCTCATTAGGGCAAGGGAAGGGAGGAGAAACAGGTACAAAGAGGTGAGGTAACTTGCCCAAGGTGACAGAAGTCAGCAGTAGCATTGGGTGGAAACCCCAGGTCTTCTGAAAAGAAGGTAAGAGCCCTTCTGTTTCCAGAACAAATTTCTGTAGTCACCACAAATTAATTGGATTTAATGCTGGTGAAAATATGGGGTAAGAAAACCCCAAGGCTTTTGCATATCCCCAGAAGAAGCATAACAGCAGACAGCTTCCACCGTACTGCTTTATCAGCTTCCAACATACTGCTTTGTCACTGAGAAGCTTCCCATTAAGATTAACAAATAGTTCACCTTCTCTGGGTGAGATTAGTTCCTCCTCTGTGACTAACAAGCAACTTGTGTTTGTAGAGGGTTTTGTGGAATGGGTCAGGCCTGTTGGAGCTGGCCAGAGGTCACCAGTGCATCTCATAGTGGTTTTGAACCTGATGCCAGCTGGATTCATTACCAACATAAATTTGAGGGGGGAAATTCTGTAATATTCTGACGTGTCAATCTTATCTTATTCCTGAGCTGAGCAGTCTCCTGAATTTCCAACTCATGTCAGAATTTAAAAGACTAACCCTATAAAACATTAAAGAACAAAGGAGAAAAACTGAAGCAGCTCTGACCTGTTGGTGGACAGAACACTTTAGTAAGGAAATAGATTATCAGTCACTGATATGGGCATCTTAAGACCACTGGTGCCAGAATGATCTACTGTACTTCCTTCTTCCTCAGCTCATCTTCAAACTCAATTCAGTTACAGTCAGTAAAGTCACTGAGATTGCAAGTAAATCCATTTCCATGTCCATTTAGATTTGCATTCAAGAAGTCTGATTTACGTCAGATGTTATTACATAACAAAACCTGCTTCATGATCTGCACTGGGACCACATAAGTAGTAATTGCGGTTATGGAAGTTCACCTGAGAAAACCAGGGGACCCTACAACCTGAAAGATATCTTTAAGTACATATCTAAGATAATAAATTAGATAGAAAAAAACTATCATTGCAGGATACAAGAACCCTTACTAAATGTCAGTAATTTAAAATGTGAAGCAGCTATTTCCAACTAACCTGCTTTCCCAGGTGGAAGTGCACTTCACCCCGACCTAGTTCAGATTTTATCCAGTATGTCTGGCAAAGTGGTCTGGAAACATATTTCCCTTCAGTATGTGTGAGAGAAAACATCCGGCTGCTCTTAATCCTTTTACTGCCATGGAAGATCATGGTATTCCTCATATTCTCTTGTGAATATCGGTGCTCCACAGCCCACTACCAGGCAGGCTTTTGCCTCACGTTCTGGACTTTGCAAGTACCCAAAGACTAGGATATCCATGTGAGTGATGAGAATGCACATATTGATGGCCTGCAAGCCTCCCCTCTACCAGTGGCTGGTGTTCATGTAAGGTGTTTAACTGTGTGTTTAATTGTGCAAGTTTTGCACATGAAGCATCATCATGATTGTTCCCATTAAACCCAGATCAAACAGAGAAAAAGCACTGTGAACAGCAGCAGCAACAGTAGTATCTGGGAGTGTCAATTAGAAACTGTTTCAAAAGAGGATAGAAGCAAAGCAGGCTTTGAATAAAGCGTATAGCAGAATGAGTTGCTTGTGGGTTCATTACCTCTCCAAGACTCTGTCTCTCCTGTCTGTCCTCGTAGGCGGAAGTGTAGAATGGCTCATAAGTAATTAGGTCTGGACGTTCAATGTCATAAATGGCCTTGACTTTGGGAATGGCTGCTAAATCCTTGTAATCAAGGATTTCATTGTCTACTTTTGCCTGAAGGTCAAAGACAGAAGATAAATTAACTTACATAAATGCACTGGTCATTTCTGTTTTACACAATTTATGATTTTTGTGTATTTGTTGTCACACTGTTGCTATGGAAAACCCTTTTTGGCACTCTACATGCAAAGTGATTGTTTCTTGTTCTTCTCCAGCAGGCCTCCTCTGCAAAAGCACACAGTGTTTTCTCAGTTTAGGAAAGAAAGAACATGGTACATATAGATCTAAACCAAAAGTTTCCTATCCCCAGTAGTGAGCTGGAAACTTCAGCTCTGCAGATGACACATTTTGTGGCCTCAGGCAAGTATTTTCACCTTTCTGCTCTTGTTTTCCCATATGTAAAATGGGCAATAACATCAATTTAGTTTGCAGATTACAGAGATTATGAGAGGATTCCATGCGGAAGACCACAGACAGAAATTCAATTTATAACTGTGCACACAAGAGGAAATACAACTTCTTACAAGGAAATAAAAAGGCAAGCAGGACTATTTGCCAGGACTGGGTATCCAAAGTCTCAGCTGAAATTATTATATTGCACTCATCACTCAACCCAAGCTTCTGTTTAAGACATATGTTGCTTACTAACTACATACTACATACTACTAACATTAACTATTTTTTCCACTGTAACTGCAAGGAGCTCTTGACTACTTAAAAAATGGAAGTAGGAAATCAGTTGCAAAGAGAGCTGCACCCATTGGAAGGAGATAGAAAGAAGCTTTACATATAGTTTAGATAGCTAATATCTTTCCTTATTTAAAAGAAAACTTTTTAAAAACTCATCATATATTCTTACCTACCTTACAGAAATACATTTGCTGATTAATATCTACTAGATATTTATTTATAGTAGGCTGCACAAGGAAACAAGGCTGATCTGTTTCTACTCACATTCAGTTCCGTTCTTCCTGAGTACTAGCCCCTAGTATTTTCACATTAAAGTGCATTTGCCTTCCCAAACTCTCCTAACAACTACTGGTCTTGGTGGTTCTTAAGCAATGCCATAAATTAAAAACATTACAAAATATTTTTTGATAAAGAAGTAAGGTTTGAAATAGTAAGGAAATTCACTTTTTAAAAATAGCCCCAAATCTGTTTAGTTTTCACTCACCAGATGTAACAAAATACCTTAAACCAAATTAACCTTTAAATTACAAAGATACATTAACATACGTTATTTCTGTAATATTTTTACTATAGTTTGTTAATGAGCTGCAAATTATCCTGAAGTCTGGATATTCTTAATCCAGTATAAATAACCATAGATATTTTTGTAGACCCTGGTCTAGGCCACTACGTCGTCCTACAAACTGTGCTGTCGAGCAGTTAAATTTCGTAAGATACAGCTTATGAAGTCGATATTACCAGCAGAATGGCAGTTCTCCAGGACACGCTCTGTGCTTTGATATCTGCAGTGTGAACATTTTTAATATATCAGCTAATTTTTGTTGTTGTTGTTGTTGAAATGCATTGAAGAAGTAGTATTTAACTCAAACTCAGGACTTGAGATTCGTAATTTTAGTAATTTTCTGCATTACTACACATGCAATTGATAAATTTCTGTGTCTTACACTACAGTTTCACCCATATAAGCTTAAGGTTATCTATAAAATCAGTGATTCAACATTATGTATAGGCAACAAAAAAGAGTTTGCCCTGTAGTTTGCCTCTTCTTCCCAGCATACCTTCATCTCTGCTTCCCTCACAAGGGACTCTCTCTCTCACTAACTTGCCTTCCAGTGATTTTCTTCCTTAGCTGTTATCTTCCACTTCTGTCTTGGATCTTGTGCTGTTCATCTGAGAGCGTGTTTTATATGAGGGCAAAGCTTATACGGACTTTCAAGGAACAGGATTCTTAAATACATGTCAGTTTTTGAAAACATAGGTTATATGCATGGACAGCAAGTTTGAGAAAGCTGAGTTGTTCTGTTATTCACCTAAGTACATTTGAGTTTATATTGTTCCTCCTTAGAACTGAATTAGTACAGCCACAAAAGATTACTTTTTTTTCTGACCCTGTGGACTTCTCTGCCAAGAAAAAAAAAGGCTACTGACATTTACAACACTGAAATGCCTGGAAAAGTGGTAAGAAAAGAGGAGAAAAACATTATTCCTTTGAAAATTTTTGGACACCCTTCTGCTAATGTATTTCCACTTGTAATTTCTAAGATCTTATGGGCTCAAAAGGTACCAATAATGAGGCCAAGTAGTGAAAGATATCCTCTAAAATAATGAGAAAGAGGAGGCTTGATTACTGAACGAATCATATTAAACTCTACCTCTGAGGTAACCACAAATAAGATAGTACATCAATAGCTTTGCATTTTCAGCACAGTTAATTTAGTAAAAAAGGGATGCGTAGTATCTTTTTTGTTCTTAAATAAAAAAGTCCTTTTCTTCCACAACCAAAGTGTCCAACTTCTGGAATGAAAAGTGTTGTATCAGCCAGTAGCATAGCTGACCCTCCTCCCCATGTCCTGAAACTGCAGTCAGCAGATCTCTCAAGAGCTGCATATCGAGGTGCACTGATCTCCTCACATAACCCCCTAAACTCAAATGACCTGTCTACCTTCTGTCCCTCTTCACATCACCAAGCGACTTCAAGAGATTTACTGCATCTTTCTATGGCAAATGTGACCTGGAAAAGGCCTACCTTGCTCTTGAAATCCTATAGTTATGAAAACTACATGGTGAGAGCTTTAATAATTTAACCACTAGAATAAAGGCATTAGCATCAGTAAAAAAGTGACATATTTCAGCATGGAGTGTTCCATGTGCAAGCAAGGGTTGAGAGGCTTATCCATCAGAAGGAATACTTACATAGATAGTGTGGCCTGGAGAGCCAGGTATACTGGAACCTGGTCTGGAATAAATGCTTTCTGATGATGTTCTTGTAGGCTAAAAAACAAAAAGTAACTTTTCAGAGTAACCTGAAGCCATTAACATTGTTAATTTTGAAGTTAAGTGAAGAAATCTGCATACATCTTGAAATTAACTGAATTTGGGAAAAAATGTCAACACAAATGCAAGCATTCTGGCAAATTTCACAATCTTGTGAGGCAAGTGGTCTTTTTTTTTTTTTTTGGTAGAGGAAGGAGTGCTGTGAGAGGGGGAAGACATTTTCTACATCATACAATGTAAAAGACTGACAACAATAATGAACAAAATCAAACAACACCTGCCAGAGACACTGCAAGGAGCCATACAAAGTACAATCCACGATAGTCCTGCTGGTCATTTTATCAAAACGTTAGTTCACAAACAGCTCAGCAGTTCAGCAGACAAAACTGTTGAGAGGAGCACAGCACACACATTATCACTTCCCAGATGTTCAATCACTGGATTTCCATTATGAATACAGAACTGAATTAAGTCCTTCTAAGTAGATGAAATCCTTGACTTGGAGCTGTTCCCTACATCTGCAGCACAATTTAGATGCAACATGAAAGCTAAACTGTTGATTGAAATTTCACAATTCCCCACACTGCAAAACTGCTGATGTTTAATGACAATGTCCTGCAAATTGAAATTCATGAGAACAGTCACACTCCTACAGAGCCAGTGCTGTTACACCTTCAGTGGATTTTCCAATACCTCATCGGGACTAGACACAGACTCCCTGGGGGAAATCCCTTTGTGAAAGGAGACAAAGGAATTGATCACTAAAATGTGGGGATCCTGAAAACCTGATTAATTTCAAAAACATCTATTCAATCAAAAGTTACCCAGGCTATTGTGGCAGTTACTCTTAAACTTGGCATGCAGCAGACACACAGAGATATTCAACAATATCCCACTCTCAACTGAGAAACCATGAACAATTTTTACTCCCTAACGGACTGCAAAGAACCAAATCCTGTCACAAAGCAATGCACCAGCACATGACTGTGATGATACTAGTGCAGCAGGATACTTTGAAGTCACTGAAAATTAAATCTTGGTAAATAGTCCTTACCTCATCAGCTTGTGACATTGAAGGGACCTTCAGGTCCTAAGGGACCTTCAGGTACATACTGAAGAGAAACAAGACTTGACAGCCTGGCTCGCTGATTTTTTGTAGGAAATATCTGGAGTGAACACAAAGAGGCTGCTGGACCTTTCTTATCTCTCAGCATACATTTCCTGAAAGGATCCTTGAGCAGACTTCAGAGTCTCTCTACCTTTTATTTCATATCCAGAAAAGCTATTGGAACCATCCGCATAAAAAAATGCTGTAGTTGTGGATCATACAGCAGGCTTTCTCTGACTTCATTTGTGGAAATGAAATCGCCACATTCAGGGAGGATCAGAGGAATAAAAGGTTTTGAACACGTTCCACCAAAAAACGTTAAGATTCAGATCAGAAAGAGAGCAGATGTGGCTGTGGACTGACACAGTCACAAATCCTATCCAGAGCATATCTGAGAACACTTCCTCAGCTGGGCCTTTATGTGTTTCTTTCCTTTTCTCTCTGTGACTGCAAATTCCTACATCCCAAAAGGGAACAGAAATTTCTCAGTTGCCCTTAAGCTCCTCCCATGATGCAATCAAAGCAAAAAACTCAACAACAACCACTTGTTTCATGGAAATGTTACAAGAACTAAGCTGGAAAATCTGGCTGCTGTGGAGAAACACTTTATTCTTTATTCCCCCTTCCATTCTGCCATTTCACACCACGGTCAGTCTGAGTCCAGACACATGGAACATGTTGCTGCAGTTGCTATGGAAAACAATTGTTTTCATTACAACATAGGGAACAGCATTAAGTAACTGAGGTACTGTTAGGGGCGTCTCTGTTACCTTTGGCTTTTGGCAGACACACTTTAAGACTTTTGTCTGATCAGTTCTCTTTGTTGTAGGAAAACAAGCATTAGAGGCAATTACAGCCTGTTCCTGCCTGGCAGGCCCTTTGGGTAGCTCTTTGCTCTGGATATTCCGTAATCATTTCAGAAAACAAGAAATACTCAGCTCTCCTCAGTCTTATCTCTTAGTATCACTGCTAAAAGCCTTTCAACCAAAGGAAAGTTCATTTGTATTTAGTGCATTTATTAAAGTTAGACACCTTAAGAAGACAGTTTCAGCCACATCCTGCTACCAACATTCTTAGGTGCTCTTAACCCTGGAGTATAGGAGCAGTTGTCACATGGACTGGCAAGTGTTAGCACCTGTTCTTCATTTCGCCACCGTGTTTCTGCTCCAGGTTCATTGTTACCATCCCACTGACACAGCAATGAGCCAGATATGACACCCTTCAAAACCAGTTTTCTATTTTCTGTAATTCTTCCAATCTTACCTTCAGTCTGTTGCAAAGCTCCACGATCCCTGGGCAGGATGCCATCCTGACAGCCACTGCCTGAACACACACCGTTCCTCTCCTGAGGAGCCTAATCCAAGCAGACCTGGATCTCTGTGGCTCTTCTATTTGCCCCCAGTCCTGTATCTTGCTTAAGTTTATGATGTACCCCTGAAGACAGTGCATGAAAAGGAGGACTTCTATATCTACTCTCACCCTTCCTGCCTCACTTTGCCCTGTTTCTTGTTTTGAATTACACAGGCTCTTTCCATCACAGATGGCTAACTATTTCCTACTCTGCTGCTCCCATATGGTCTGGAATCCTTCACAGCGTTGCGCTTTCCCCTAAAGACAATTGCATTGCACTTAAAATCATTTGTGCTGCTTGCCTTAACAAATACACACTAAAGATTCCTTGATATAAGCTGTTCCTCTTGCATACCTTTAGTTGCTATGGTTGGCTCCTCTCCTAACAGGCCATAATAGATCCTGACCGAAAACCTGTGATGAGGTATGGCTTTTATTAGATTGTACATTGCATCTTCATTAGCAGCTAAGAATCCCTGACCCTGTGTACCACTGTTGTGACTTTATATCTTAAAAGAGGTGGCAAGAAACACACTGGAGGTCAAGTTCTCTACTGATGTAAGAACAGTGGGGTGTAAATTTCACCCTAGAGGAGAGATGATCAGAGCGCAGGTGAAAAGGAATAGTGGCTATCCCCGATTTAACCTTTAGCCTTCAGTGGAGGTATCATGTGAGCATCTCTTGCACACATTATTGGAAGACAGATAAAGAATTTAGAGGAAACATCCTTTAATATGAATGCAGTAATTTAGAGATATTTCCTTCCATCACAACAGTCCTGTGGCACTTGTTCCACACTCTCAGCAACAAAACTAGTTAAGATGCCTTACTTCTTCTACAAACCGGTCTGCAGCACTCTTTGTATGATTGTTCTTGTTCTTGAAGGATTCAAACTGAGCTTTTCATGCCACCTTTGTGCAGAGAAATTTAAAGCAAATTTCTACAAAAACTACAACTAATCTTTTTTTCTCTTCCTGTGGTGCATGGCCTTTCTCCACATTTTCTGACAGTAGGAGTCATCTGTTTTTTCCTTTCCTCTTTCACCCAAATGGATGTAACACTAGTAAATATATCAATATGGAATGTCTGTACCAGATACAGGAAGTCCATGAAGTATATGAAAAAAAAAATCAATAGAAATTCAGTCAACAGAAATCCATGCATATCATTAAAGGAGCCAAAGGAAAGAACCAGATTACAAAGCATCTAAAGTATGTGCCAGACTTCTGAGTATTTCCCACTTTATCATATACTTCTTATGTTTTTATTCTTCATCCCATGCATTTGTCTTCAATGCAAAAGTTCTTTATCAACTTCATTTGCAGGTTGGCAGAGGTGACACCAACTGTCATGCTCATCCTATTAGGTTCACTGTGAATTTCAATGCTCAGTTTTTATATCACCCATGCATATGCCCCAAACCGATTAACTTGTTATTTTGATATTACACTGCAAAGCTTAAGATGTTCATCCACATTTACTGCAGTTTGTCATGTCATCATGCATGGCACATCATCTAAGTAAATAGCTCTTAAAATAAAAAAATCCACACTAGAGCCATTCACATCATCCAGATGCTGCTACAATGTGGTGGCTCTGGCTTCCTCAAGTACAGATGTTCAGAATTATGCTCTGTAAAAACTTACAAGAGCAGGCAACCAGATCAAAATTGATCCCAAGAACATCTGGCCAAATGGATGCACTATTGTTTAACAAAGGCATCATCAGCATTGTTTACAGTACCTGCCTTAGTTTTCTGATAGAGTTCATTATGCAAGGCGGTGATAATAGCTGCAGAAGAATGAGTATGTTTTCACTTAATAACACTTAACATTATAGATTAAGAAAATTCTCTAAACCTCAGAAGCTACTTTAAATGAAGTATGTTTAAAAATAAACTAATAGAAGATTAGGATCTAATTTATTCTATTATGCAGATACAATTTTGCAATAGCAAGGAATTTGGCTCTCTCAGTACACTTGCTATTCTGACTACCTGCTTCAAGAACTCCAAGGTTTTACAGTTATTTAGGACCTGGAATCAGGTTTCATTAAACACACGGTTTCTATAGATTTCAGTAATTTTCAGTGGCCGTGTACAAGACCAATAACGCATTCATTGTGCCTGTTTGCTAGCTGAACTGTACCCTTCTCTTTACAAGAGTGTTTACTTCAAATGCATTCATTCATTATTTCTCTGCCTAAAAAAATCTACATTATATATGCATCGACAAAACTAGCAAACAGGTTTAGTTTAAACTCATAAAGACACACATATTAATAGGTTACAAATATTTTTTCTTTCCTTTCTAGACACAAAGCCAGAGAGGAGAATGAATTTTCAGCACAATCATTGAAGGCACTTTGCTGCCCAGCAAACTTTTACAAACTGCTTCTGCAAACATAGCATTCACCAAGAGTAAGTTAAGTTGAGAGTAGAAGAAAATAAAGTGGGAAGTCCAGAACATACTGAATTCAACGGCAAACTTCTCAGAGAATTCACAGGATTTTATCCTACAATTTTCAACTTACAATTTTCATGTAGATTCAAGCCTTCGGCCCATCTTTATGGCAACAGCAATGACAGTAGTTTTGTTTCAAAGAACACATGAAGCCAAAATTTGCCTTTGTATCATCAGCATGTAAATCTAAACAGAATTTAATACTCACCAAATTTACACAAACAGATATTCATCTGACCCTAAGCTACTTGTATCCTACACAGTCTACAAAGCAAGAAGAGATGACTTTAAAGGTCCCTTCCAACGCAAACTATTCTATGATTCTGTGAAAGAGAACATACCTTTATTGTTGCATGGACTGCTCCTATTTTATCTTACATGTTTTTCTAATACATTGGATAGGATTTGGGGTTTTTAATCCTAAGGCTCCTGGATTTCAGCACCGGAAACTCAGACTTGTGCATGCAAAGCTGAATCCAAAAAGCCACTACACTACCCTAAAAGATGAGTGAAATGTTCATACAGTTTGCTGTTCTCAGACTCCAACATTTGATTCCGTAAAGCCTAGGACTGCAGAGACATTGCCCTTTTTAAGACCACTGATAACACTTTTTTATAGCTCTATTTTCTTGATACATATTTCTGTGGCTAACAGAGAGAGCGGCTTTCAAGAGGCATTAATGCATTGCAGCATCCTAAGCTAAGGAAAGCACCATGCAGGACAAAGGGCACGGGGCTGGCACTAACTCCCACTGAATCACAGAATTGGATTCAACTATATAATTCTATCCTGTGGACTGCATCTGGCACAAATATCCTGCCCTGGCTGATAATATGACTATGGCTACTTTGCAATAAGAGATGTGAAAGCAGCATGAGCAGACACAATGGAAATCCAGTGGCACAGACTCTATCAGCCTGTCTGCCCACCACTAGCCTGTAGTAAGTCCATCCCAGTATGTTCTTACTTTGTTATCAGGTGAAAGCACCTCAGGTGTGCCTGCATGCAGTACAGCCACATGTTCCCCCACAGCAGACACAACTAATAAATAAGCACTGCTGTGAAGGGGAAGAAATGGAAGTGGCTGGTGCTTGTAGGTGCAAAGAAAACTCAAAGAAGTCTGAAAATAGCAAGGTAGTCCAGAATCAAGAGGACAGGGAGGACCTCCCAACTCAGATATGGGTGTGCCCCAGAGTAGAGAGAGGCAAATGCTCTCAGGCAGCACACAGAACGTGTCCAAACCTGTAATTTTGTGAGTATTTTCCCAACTGAAGTATTCATGTGCAGTTGGTCAATACACATAAAAACCAAACTGATTTAAATGATGGCATTTTTTTTCTAAAAAGCATGAGCTTTTTAACCATCGCTTTAAAGTCAGATGCTTTTCACCATTTTCATTTGCAGTCTAATTTTTTGCTCTAGAAGAAAAACTTTCTGTAACACTGGAAGAACAATACTACAGCCCCATAAAGCCCATCTGAACCTAAAAAAATAATTTTAAGCATTTCATTACGCAAAATAAAAAATATGAAAATTAACAAACAACACTGCACCACATGATGCAAAATACAGCGTCAGTGCCCATGATGGCAAGTGATAGTAAGAAAGCTGTGTGGCAGAAGTAGTAGCAAGCACAGCGAATGACAATCATGAAGAATCTTCTCAGTAAAGAAGACCATTATTAACACTATGAAAACACAACAGCAAACCTCTGCAGAGCGTGGCCTGCGCAGAACCAGACTCTTTGGATAAAAGAACTCAGATGAGGAATGCTGTCATGAAACACAAAAGGGAAAAATGAGTGAAAAGGAAAGCAGTTTCCCCAGCTCAGTGGTTAAGCTCTTTTTTTTCAATCAAGTTACTAATATCTACTTGCTAGATAATGCTCTGTGCGTTATAATATCTATGGTACTTATTGATCCCTGCAGAATCACCGACAGCCAGACAGTTGTAAAAAAACCCCTAAGCAATCTATATTTTTGTAACATAGATATGGTTGCTCTATTTTCTGCTTGTTTTGGCTTTGTAATCCTCCACAAATACCCAGTGGGGGGAAGATCTAAAGCAGCCATTGTTTTTATGAACTCCCTGTCAGATCTTGACCAGCTAGAATGCTGATTAGTTTGTATCACAATTCAGTTACTGAGAGAAAACAGAACGGCTGAAAACTTCTGAAGTGACTTCAATGATAAAAGGGCTTTTTGTTTTATTTTGCTCTATAGGGAAAGGAAACCCAGCAGAGCAAACATGCCATGTCACTGGCTTTTTGCAGAACCACCAGAAAATCTAGGTCTGATCCTGAAAGTAGCTGTCATACATTTGTCAACTCACAGACCAGATTCTGATTCCCACATTATGTCTTAATGCATGTCATAAGAAACTGTAAGTCAATCAAAGTACAGTTCATAATTTAGTGGTGACATGTTCAAATAGCACGTAGTTCCCCCAGTTTCATTTCTTTCTGTACCTACCTGTTTGCTACTGCCTTCATTTGAGTCAGCAGAATGAAACATGTCAAAGCCATCAAAGTGAACTCAAACTGATTTTAAAATAAGGTGTCTGACTTTTTGCACTGGCATAGATGGAGACTATCTGTGAAATACAGTTGAAGCTAAAAATTCTCCATCTCTCCAGCTAGCTTTTGGTACAGTGCATTTGTCAATGCCTTTTTCAAGATATATTAAGCCTCTGCCTAGAAGCTTTCATCCAAGAACAGGGCAACCTTGGATAGCCGTGACATAACATTTCTCAGATTTTCCCTTAATATGCATTCTTTTGCTTCATTTTCCTGCAAGAACTCACTTAGGCAAAGTCTTGCAGGTGAATGAATTAATTTACTTCAATTAAAATTAGCTGAGGGGGAAGAAGACTGACATGCTTGAATGTGTGATGGAAAAAAGGAAAATATTTGAAGAGGACTTTGGCTATTTCCATGGGGAATGGAAATAAGCCACTGATTTATAAGGTCAGCTGGAAAAGGTTCATAAGGGCTGCAGTGTAGTCAGGAGTACTTTGGTAAGACTCTTGGGTCCAAGGGAAAAGGAGGTATTGTACCCCGACCTTTCACTACAAAGCACAAGCATTCTGACACTTAAGCAGGGCCAAAACACTGTCTTACATTCAAACTGTTAAATGAGGAAGAAAATCCAGTCTGGCATAATTTTCCATTTTCTTACGGAAATTCAGAGCAGAACAATGGGCAAATGCTGGATGGTACCTACAGTGACGTTTGTCTGTGCTAGATCCATGACCATCTAGTGCCAATTATACTGCTGTACAGCCCACACTAACATGAACTCTGCTCAACAAAAATTTATCTGCACATTACCTATGATCATAGTAAATTCTCTGTGGGGAATATTTTACAGACCAGTTCATCTGAATTAATTCTAAAGGACATGGCTTCCTGTGACTGAGCCACACACAGAACACAATCCATGGTATCTCCCTGCCAGTACCTCTTAGTTTCCTTGTCTGAAGGACATTTTATTCACATGCAGTCTCTAATATTCAAATCCAGAAAACTTAGCAAAGTTCAAAGGACCAACTAAGACATCAAAAAGAGTAAAATGTCCAGAAGATGAATTAATGAATATGGGCTTAGAATTTCCTGGTGCATGCAAAAAGCCAGGCTCCAGCATTTATCAGTGTGGCACTACTACCACCAAGCATTTGATCCAGAAAGTTTGTCTGGATATGCTGAGATGACTCCAAGGGTAGATGACTCCAAGGGTAACTGCAACTCTTCTTGGCATTCAAGTTAGGATCACTTTAGGCTGAGGTTTATTTGGATGGCAAAGGAATAAGAGCCCATATTGTCTAAATGCTGTAAAACAACAGTCCAGAACAGGGGATACCTATAGAGCAATTATACAGATGTGCAAAAATACTAAAATATATCATAGCAACTGCCCTGTTCACATTTTCTACCTAAGAGTCTCTCTCACAATAACTGAGATATGAAATGAAGTGTCTTAGACTTTGCCACGTCTGTCTGTCAGTACATGACACTTTCTTTAAGGCAGTGCACTGAGACAGGTATGTGAAGGTGGTGAGCCTAAAAACCAGAGCAATACCTCTGAAGTGCCTCCACTGTTTATTCTGCCAGAGTGGTAAGAACTATGCAAAAAAACATGGAAAAAGTAATCTTTTAAAAACAACATTCAGTTATTGTGTGCACAAAATATCTGGTGTGTCATTGCCACAAATTCATCTTACCCGTAGCTTATCTTCAGTCTTAGTGGATTGCTTACAGTCGGGATGCCAGACAGTGGAACCTGAGGGAGGGAAAAAACCATCTTGATTCAGAGCAAAGCAGATGACTTCCAGTCACGACAAGTCAGTTATTAAAGAGAATCTCTTCATTGCATCAGATGGTGAATCTGTCTGAACTATGCAAGTAATTCACATTCATTTCTAGCTCATGAGAATACAAGTGAAGCAAAAAAATATTCAAATCCTTGGCTCATCTACAGCAGCCTCTTCCTGAGGCTGTCAAAGCACTCTACACACATTCTTAATTAAAACTCAAACAGCCTCAAGCAGCAAGGGAGTCAGCAAGCACCAGCTGGAGGACTGAAGGTTCTCTAGGCAGGACGGAGGGTAAGAGCAAAAGAGTTGGGCCATGGTTACCTGATCTGTTCTCCCCTTACATACTGCAACACCATAAAAAGGAAGTTCTGATTGTAAGTCCATTAATACTGGGAAAGTCTTATGACTTCCTTGAGCAATAGGTGTCATATTCAGTTACTGTGAAGTATTACCCAGATCACCTCTTCCCTGCAATTATGCAAAATACAACAGGAAAAGCAAAATTAGAAAATTCACAACACAGAAGTCAGGGTGATATCTCACCTGCTGCACTAAACTAGAAAGGCCAGTATGACACAGGTGGTACAAAGCAGCCTGTGAAAGAGCCTCTCCCTGGATACTTGCCACTGGCACCCACTTCATTTCTAACCCTTGATCTGCAAGGTCAGTGGCATGTGTTGCACTGGCATTTCCACGTGGCTATTCCACCTACACATCCTACCAAAAGAGGCAAGCTCTCTGCTCTTTGTGTCCCAAAACATGGGATTCTCTCTTATGCTGTAAAGATGGAAATATCTCTGTGTCCCCAAGGGCTGAGCAGTGGTCGGGGGCACGGAGCACTTCCACCTCATTTCAGTTCTGCTTTGGAACAGAGTGTAAACTATAGTCACTGCTGGAAAGCTGCTGGCAGCTATTAGCAAAGTTGAAACAGAACAGAAGCTAATGCTGATTTTTAACACTAAGTGCAGATACAGTCAAATTCAAACTTAATTCCAGTCACTACAAAGTCACTACAGAGCCATATCTGTCTGCAGGGGGGAACGTCACCTCTTCTCTTTCCACAAAGAAACGGTAAGAGCAAAGTCCAGCTCTCCTGCTGGTGACTATTAGCTCAAGTGCAGTCAGAGGAAACCCCACCCTCAGAGCCCAGGAAAGCTATGGGTCAGGACCCCTGGAAATTTTGTTGTAACAAGCCCTTACATGGCTTGGTACAGAAGTAAAGACCAGCAGGAATGATTTCCCTTCCCAGCAGCACACAGTATCATCATCATCAGGAGATTGGAGAGAACACTGCGACTCTGGATCAAGGGTCTGAGATGTTTGGCTCTGAGTCTAAGCCGAGGAAGAAGACACTGTGCATTTGGCAGTGGAAAACGATCAGACAACAGGGAGAAGTGTACCAACAGCCTTCTCTGTAAACAAACCGCAGTCTCAGAGCCAGGACCCCACAGAGCCTGCGAGATCAGGAGAGAAGCATGCCCTGTGCATTTACTCAGGAGGTCAGACAGATACAAGCACTCAGGAGGAAGGAAGTTAATGCTATAAGGCTGATGAACTCAGACTCAGAAAGTTTAGGTTCAACTCTCAAATTCAGCTGTGAACTTCCTGTGTGGCTGACAAAAATTACCTCTGTACCTCAGTTTCTTTTCTACTAAACTACCCCCCACTATCAAAGAAAAAGCTGCCACTGATTCTTGGGCAGTATTTAGCACAAACTGGCACAATTTTAGGGACCCCCCAGGAAAATGCTGCAGCTGCTGAAAGTGAACAAGAAATGGAAGACAGTCTGGATGTCATCTTCATGGTGAAACTTAATTAACTGTTGGTCTTGAGTTTTCTTTCACAAAATTGTAAGAGGTTTGAATTATGTGAAACTTAAAAAACCCAAATCAGATAGAACAGGTTTAAGAAGTGAAATGTAAATATTTTTCGTGATCTTGAAGTCTGAGCCACCTACAGCTTGTAGATTTTATTCATCCAAACATGCCAGTCTATTTTGAAATGCTTGGAATGGTGCAAATTCTCAAGCTGCATCGCCCCTCTTTTTCCTACCAGAAACAGTTCAGAAAACTGTGATTATTCCCATTCTTAACATATGTTTGTTTGCTCACTTGGCAGACACCAACCAACATGTTCATTTATTCAGCTTTTTAATTTGCACGTACCATTGTTTCAACATACAGCTCTCTCAAAATCAGTAACTCAGGCTATTATTTACACATTGAATAAGGCTGAAAGCCCATGTGAGAGTCAAGTGAAGCATCCCTCTGAATGCTGAGCAACATCCTAGCTCAGCAACAGTCTTCTGGGGCAGTCCATATAGTAATATATTACAAGGAAATCGATGGGAAGAGAAAGTGTCTGAAGCTGCTTCTTTTTCATGTTCCTGTGTTGGAGCAGGGCAAAGCCAGAGTGCTACTGCTAGCATTACTCAAACCATCCTTAACATCGAAAGCCCCTAAACAGACGGCTTATTTTCCTATGTTCTCCTTCTGCAGGCTTCCCACACATTTCTGATACAAGCAGCTATCACAAACCTGCCAGGCTCTATTAGACAAAGCAATACCAACACAGTGCTTTCATGTCCTGTGGAGAGGACAATTAGAAGTAAGATGGAAGCTGCCTATTTTCATATATTTTATCAATAATGCAATTCTGGTTCTAGCTTTAGTGTTGTGATGTTGTATTTTTATTTCAGTGAAATGTTTAGAATGCTGTTACTCTGCACCTTAGGGTAAATGATTTGGATGGAATCAGGATATACATTTCAGCTGAGAGCTTTGCACTGGAAAGGCTTTTAGGTCCCTCACACTTACAGACATGCTGAATTCAGCAAGGAAAGCTTTGACAAAACAGCCTGGAGCACGCTCAGCAATAACATTACTTAGTCAGAAAACAGCTTGTGAACAGTAAAGCAATGCAACTTGAGCTGCTCTCTCTGAGACAGAGTGAGCATGAAGAGCATTAATTCACAACCACAGAAAGGGAGATACAGCCAAGAAGAGAATGATGGCAGATCAAGGAGCCAGGTGTCTCTCCTCTCCTCCTTCACATCACCTGAACTTGGCCAGGACAAAATCCAGCCTTGTTTAAGTAGAAGCAGTACTTTCTGTCTTACTTGGATCTGTGCAAATTTACACCACAGCCTGCCCAAGCAACATGAACTCCCATTCTGGGTGCAGATTGCATCAGTTGCAAACAGCTGTTATTAATAACAGCAAAGGATGAACTGATGCTCACCTTGAACTCTGTACTTTGTCATACTATGATGTGAGGAAACCAAGAAGATTACCAGTTGTCAGTAACTGCTCCTTTCAAGTTAGTTTTTCCAATTTGGCATCAGAAAGCAGTACTTCCTACTCGGCCCCCTTTCAGCCTTTCCTTGCTCTTGCAAATGCAGAACTGCTACACAACTCAATATCCAGTTCTGTGCACAGCTGGAATAAGATGGCTAAGGTATAAGGTCAGTGAGAGATGAAAGAGATGGGCTGCAAGGAAGGACAAACTACAAAATAACATGTTAGCTTCAAAGGAATTCCTTAACAATATTAATTTTGGAATTCCTCCAGAAGGAATTTCTCCTCCTGATTTCAAGAGATGGCTGCCATCACACCTTCATCATTTCTTTCCTACTCTTTTACAGTTCTTTCAGGTATACCAAGCAAGTTTTCTGATATTTTACAAGTACAATATACAAAATCCCAACATGTATCTGTCTTTTTCACTTTGATTTCTTGCTTGCATAAATGTGTATTATACTTCTTTCTAACAACATTAATTATTAATACTACAGCAAGTAATAAAAATAACTGTAGCTTAATAGTTAACATGCTACCTTCTGGGAGAGGAGGTGGAACTCAGATTAAGGATACTCTTCAACAAAGAAAAGAGCATACAGATGAAGTAAATGGGAATAAAAAGAGAGATGTGACCAGAGAAAAGGTAAATAGGCAAGTCAAGCAAATATGATTAAGAACCAGAGGAGACACTCTGTCAATGCACATGGGGAATGAGATCTACATGATTCTAAACAAGCTCACTGAAGCCTCTGGAAGTTGTTTCATTGCCTTTTACAGTTTGGAGTGTGGTCCTGGAGAACACATAAACTTACCCACAGAATTCAGGGGAAACCCTCTCATTTTGTCTCGTATCTCATATAACAGGCTGTGTGTTAAGCTATCTGTTGAGATGCCAAATACAGAGGCAACCTAATAAATTTCAATCTTGCCACATAGCTTTTGAAAACAGTCTGCCTCAACTAGCATGTAGAGTCACTGATATTGCCACTGCTATGGCCACCTACTAGAGCCATAGTGAAAAAGTACGAGAACACTATTGCAGATAGTCCTCCTTATTCATATTACATGGGGATGGTTTATAAACTCCTGAGGTCTGTGACAGAAAAATTACAAACTCTGATTTTCTTGTTTAGGAATGGAGGCATCCTTACCTTGCAGATACATTTCTTCTCCTTCCGTGAACATTTGGTTGCACCTGCTGCATCGTGCACAGCTTGGATGATAATGCTTGTCACCTGCCTAAACAAAAATTAAAAAAAAAATAATTAGGGACCAATGCATTGCATTGCTTTGAGAGCATTCATTCTTTATTTGCTAACAGACCAGTTCACCTGCTATGATACAGCATTGCCCTCATGATGCAACAATAATGATGATAATGTAAGGTCTGCCATACTGTTTCAGTCCAAAGGTCTGTCTAGTCCAGTAGCCTGCCCTCAACAGAGGCCAGCAGTGACTACTTGAAGGCAAAAGGCTATAAGAAACAAGACAATACACAACAGCCTTTCCTCTTCACACCTTCCCCTTCAAGTAATCAGTGGTTTAAAGATTTCCTGGCTAGGGGCTATGTCAAAATCTATCTAGTCTCCCTAATTTGTCCAACACCTTTTTAAATCTCCATCTATGTAACAGTCCAAGGCAATGAATGGCACACTGCAGTTAGATATTTGTGTAAACCTGCTGCCTCATTTTGTCAAACAACATGTATTTTCTCAATTGCTCCACTGTTACATATTAATTTAGACATTGAATGACAGTTTTCAACCCACCATTTTATTCCTTGGCCTTCCTCCCCACACTGCTGATACAAGCATTAATAGTGAGAGCTTTCTAGAGCCACTTTCGTCTGGGATGATTAACTTAATTCACAAATGTCTGACTTCAGAAGCTACACTAGCACTGACGGCTTGAGCTGAATCTGAACTAGTGATGTAAAGATGCTAAATACTCTAGATCCTGTTAACCCAAATCCAAAACCACTGAGCCATTCCTTCTCTTAAATACATTGATACCCATAATAAACAAAGCTGATGGAATTTCAGGCCTATAAGGACAGGAAAAAAATCAAGGAACAGACATTGTGATTTCTTCTCCTTAGGAGATCAAAACAACCAATGTATTAATTTTTTTTTGCATCTGAAACTAAGCATGCAATGCCCACAATAGGTTTTTTAAATCAAAAAATAATTAATCCTAGAAAATTACCCTTAACAGTGACAAGTAATGAATTCTGTAAGTCTTTGTATCTGGCTTTCCAAACAAGTTAACTAACCTCAAATCCTTTTTCAAAAAATATTCCCTATCCACTGAGATGTCATATGCACAAAATACCTGTTTAGTCTGTTGCTGACTTGTAAAATATCATCAAATCCATCTCCTAGTTCACTATACTCGAGACTGTAATATTATTAAATTCAACCTTTCATTATTTCTGTTGAGATGAATAACAAGGTATTTTTGGTTCACATTCAACATTGTTTATTCAGGCTTAGTATTTAAAAGTATTTACACGAGATGATGAAGTATATGGATTAAAGTATCTGACAACTGCCAGACAACCAGCTCCACCACCCAGCCCTTCTACAGGTAAAGTTGTACCATTTAATTTTAATGTTCTCATTTGTTCCTGCCTTAGTAGTGTAGTACCTGGGTTTGTTTTTAAGAAAGGTCAGCAGAGATAGTTATTCACAGAGACAATGGTGTTTGTGGACATGACTATTTATCTTTCATTATCACTAAGATCAATTCCTGTCCAGGAATTTCAGCAATACAAGACCAGAGAAGAGGACTCTGTGTGCTGTTAGTTTAGCCATACACTCATGCTTCAGTTGCAAAAAAACTGCACTTCTCTTACTCAGATACTGCCTTAGCTGTTGATTCCTGCTCCTTACAGGGCAACATCCACCAAATGGAGACTAATGTGATTTAGTGTTTTTTGCATAGCAGATTTAGACCTATCAGGCAAAAAAGGTGCTCTGGTAAAAGGGAGAAAGAAAGGTCACTACAAGATGTGCCTATTAAAGGAAGAGAAGCTAATGAGGGAGAAAACACAGAACTGATGCTTGATTTGCAGCAACAAAACCAATATTGAACTGAGAAGGAAAACCACTTATAACGCTCATTCTCTTTCTATCATTTTCCTTATTGGCTGTCGTCTTCATCTCTGACTCTCTCTAGAAATTATTTAAATCCTGAAGTATCCCATCAGTTCCATTCTAAACTGGAATTTAAGAAAAAGAAAATTAAGAAACTCTATGTATCTGAAATGTAGCGCTGGCATCAAACCACAACTATTCTGATCTGGAATGCAGGAGTGCAAAGCACAGCTACTTTTATGTATATACACACATATGTGCAGTTTAGGACTGTGAATATTGAATATTCAAAGGTAGATCTCCAATTAGGAGAGCTCAGCACTCAGCAGATGCTGAAATCTTTTTCTGCACTTTCTGCCTCATGCAAACAATATTGTACATAGAGAGGAAAAGAAATTTTATCTGTGTTTGGTAAAAAAAAAAAAATCCCAACTTCGGAGCATTCCTAGAGTTTTTCAGCAGTGGGGCCCACAGAGATGCTTGTCACAAGTTATTCCAAACATATTTGATTTAAAGATGATGGCAAATCTGCTGTCCTGGGAACCGCTCCCAGTTAATGAGATATAAAAAATTCCTAAGAAGGTTGAATCACTGCCAGAAAGGATCTTTTCCAAACAGGAAGACAATAATTGAAAAAATAGATAAGAAATAACAACACAGGAATCTTTTCTGGGCTTTGCCTGTCTCATCCAACTAGAGAATATCTCTGTGGCATAACTGTGCTGCTGCTTAACAGAGCTCAAATTGTCAGTAGGCATATAGATTTTTCTGAAATAAAATTCATAGCTTCTCAGAAGGTATTCAGTAGGGTAGTTAAGTATCTACACTACCTGAACTGAAAAAGAGTATGGGGCTTGTTACACTATTATCAATTAACCTCTGAGATGGGATTCTGTCCTGTGAGATGCTTACCAAATTCCCAGACACAAAGGACTGAAATCTTTGTACATTATTATCTATGAAGTAGGTTTTATAAAGAAATAATTCCCTACCAAGCACCCTGGTGCTCAACTAAGGCAATGTAGTTTTAAGGAAAATAGTTAGGATAGGATACAGCAGAGATACCTATATTGTGAGAGGACCATGGCATGTGGACAAAGAAAAATCACACATTCACACCGTATAATTTCAGCTTCTGTTCTTCCAGTCTGGCCTTTGAGTGTGGCGGGGTTTTTTTGGGGGGGTTTCAAGGTTCTTGTTTGTTTGTTTTTTTTTTTAGGAACAACAAAGCCATATTGCACCTATGTTTTAATCAAATGCTGCATTTCACTGTCATAAGCAAAAGGTACCAATCTGGGTTTTGTGTATCTTCTCTGGCAGTCCTGCCCCATCCTTCTCAGTTTTGTAGTTAATTCACAGCAACTTTGGGTCACAGTAACTTTAGCTCAATCCATACTTTGCCCTATAAAGGTCTGTATCTGGTCAGTCTAGTGCTAATATTAATGAATCTTTTACTTGCTGTCATCATCTGATAATTGTTCCATTTATTTTTCTCTTCATCACAAAGCTTTTCTTGAGGATCCTCTAGAACAAGGTGTCTGGATTCAAGTACTCATCTGTTAATTGTTATAAGCAGTTTACATGTTTTTAAAAGACAGGCTATTTAGAGGAGAAACAAATCCAGAATTCTTCACAATATTATGTGCAGACCTGTGGCCTCTCCGGAGGTTTATTTCCTAAAAAGACTGCTACATTACTGTCAAAATAATATAGTTTAAATGACATACAGGTGTCTCCTCTTCAAAACAGCTAAAAAGAAGGATTTCAAGTTTGTCAGATCTTTCCCCAAGGCTGAAACAACTGGCCAAATTTTAGCCTAGTGTGAGTGCTGATGAATGAACACCACACCCCAGATAACACAGCCTGAGAAGTCAAAGTGCTAACATAGTCTGCACTGGAGAGGTTTTGGGGCAGTTACATACCACAGCAGCTGCACTTGTGGCTGAACACTTCTGAACCAGTTTGATGAGTTTTCAACCCCAGTAATGTTTCTACAACTCAGGAGTGAAAGCTTTTCTTCAGTGGGTATCCAGTGGAAAACATTCTGCATTTCAACTCACTCAGGGCTAATCTTGCTACGCCTGACTTGCTGTGATCATCTAAGAAAACTGGTTGCTAAGAATCAGTCAGTTACATATTAGGAAAACCTTTTGGATCTACATGAAGATGAAATATTCACAGTTTTTAGACATCTGGTCTTGCCCAGCTCTCAGGCTACTAACCCCTCGTTCACTATGGCCAGCGTGCAGCTTCCTCTTATCTTATGCTAGTGTGCTGTGGACTGTAAGGTTTATATTGCAATCACGTTATATTGCAAACAAGTGACATTAATTCAGTGCACATTTGCCCTGAACATTCTTCAGTCAAGGTGCAAGAGGGTTAAAGCCACATCCTTCTAACTATGCCTAGCTCTCCTTAGCCCTTCTCAAGTTCACTTCATGTCCAGAAATCCTTTACAGTTAGCTTTGCTACACAAGGACTTCTCAAGTGGCATCTGTCACCCTGCCAGCAGCAACAAATCCTTTTGTTCAAAATACAGCTATTCAGACACTAGGTTTTGATCTATCATATTGCTTATGATCCCTTCTGAATTATTTCAGCTTTGGTTGAAGTCTTCAGGACAATCCAAACCATCAAGTGCAAACTATGACCCACAGAGGACTATCAATACACTAAGTTTGAGTAAACTGAATTAACTGCTATAAATACCTTGGTTTTCCTTAGCTAGAAGTGCAAAACCCAACCAAAATAATATTGAACATTATTACTCTCACTTTTCATAGAAATTTTCACATGGAATTGAATAAATCAACAGCATTTTCTTGTCAAATGAAATATTAAACCTATAGGTTACTGTCACTACCTATAAATTCTCTGTTAAATCAACTGGCACTTTCATTTGCAGCAGAAGCAAAGAACATCAGTTATCAATTTATAACAATATACAAACTCTTCTGACTTTCCTCTTTTTCTTCTACCCACACTGACAAATCTAAAATAGATTCTCAGATTAAATCCCATTTGAACAGTGTAGACAGAAACATTTAGATAAAAAGAAGTAGTAGTATATACTCAATTATCAAATACTTCCAGAGCCTTAGAACTGTAGAATGAAGAAACAGTGGCCAAGGGTATAAGTGCCAT